CAGCCAACACAGGTAAATTGAGTCCAACATGGGAGGGACCCTATAGAGTTCGTGATATTGCAGGCAAGAGAGCATATGAATTGGAGAAAATGGATGGCAAAGTACTACATTCACATTGGAATGTTGTTCATTTGAAGAGATATTACTTATAAGGAATACCCACAATCAGGTATCACCATTTTGCATTTAATTTTTTGAATTGTTAAATAACTGATAATGAAAGAAATTGGAGTAGCCCTCTACTAAGAGTAAGCTTTCTTGAAGTACCCTAGCTTTTGTTCTCGTGGTTGAAGGAAGGAATGAGGACCGATCTATTTTGGGGTGTTCTTTAAGTGATATACGGGTGGGTCGGATAAAATGAATCGGGTCGTGGGTTAATTAAAAAATAGGGGGTGGGTTTAAATCGTCCAATAAAAGGCTGCCAAGTGGACATTTTAATTTTAAATGGCAGAGTAAACGGTGGAGGGACATTTTAATTTTTGGGCACAAATGGTAAGGACTTTTTTAATTAAATAGTATAACGGGGGCTAGATATGACTTATTTTAGATAGTAGAGGGACATTTTGGGCTCTTTTCCGAATTTGAATATTATCTACATCTATTTGATCAAATTTACCCCTATCGTTATACTATCCGGCCAAATTTACCTCTATCATCAGTAAATTTTTAAAAATTACCCATCAGTCCGTTAGGTGACCTAGAATCTTCTAAATCATTTTAGTTAAGTCACTTATTCTTTTTCTTGATCCACTATTTTCAAAAGGGTTGGCATTTACCTGATTTCTTAATTGGAAAAAAGAAATAAGAGAAAGAAATATTAATATAATGCAGCGGTTAGTAAATAAAGTATAGTAAATTGAAGAATCTAAATTAGATAACTTGTCTAAATTCTAAAAGTATTTACAACATCCAAACTTTAGTGAATTCGTTGCACTAAAGGTATGGAGACTTTGCAAGTATTAGTGATAGAAGTTGAAGTTCCTTTAAGACTTTGCATTACCGAATTCAACTTTGCTTTAATCAAATGCCTATGCATTGTGCACTTTTAAGTTAGTCGACCAAACTCTATACTAATTAGATAATTATAAAATATATTCGAATATACATGTACATACATGATGAGCAACCACATATAATATATAACTAATAGACCCACTAAATTTTGCAGTGCGCATATGGTTGAAAAATTATAAAAAATTTAAACCAATTCCAAATCCATTATCTCAAGAAGAGAAGTGATTGCAATGGTAATTAAAATATTCACGAATAATTTGTATAGTTTAGTACCTTTAGCATTCACATTAATGAAGTAATTTATGAAAATAGTGGATCAAGAGAAGAAGAAGAAGTGATTTAAATAAAAGGAATATGGGAGATTTTGAGTTACCTAACGGATTTAGGGGTAAATTTTAAAAGTTTCCTAATGGTAGGGGTAAATTTGACCGGATAGTATAACGGTAGGGAGGCCGAATAATATAACGGAGGTTAGATGTAGACAATATTTAGAAGTAAAAGGGTGATTATTTTGGGTCACTAAGTTGATGCATCTTGTGTTTTAGAATTAAGGAAGCTCGATAATTTTCCTTTCTTGTTCAAAAGTCCTAAGTTTAGTTATATAGACTAATTTCTTTTTTATTACTTTTGCACATAATAAATAACACTCTAGTAAATCAAACTTGTGGAAAGAAGGAAATACGGAAAGAACCATCAAATGGAGTTCGATTATGGATTTCAGGAGAAAAAAGGTCTGATGGGTAGGAGAGCGAGAGAATGAAACAGAAAAATGAGCGATGGGATATATTTAACAGCGTTATTTTTAACACTATTAGAAGCTTTTCTGTTAGTTTTATAAAGGCGAAATGGCCTCCTAGCCACTTAAACTTGTACCGGATTTTAAAGCCGATATATAAAATTTTGACTTTCCCATTTTAGCACCTCAACTCAACCAGTTGATTATAAATAAACCCCTTCTTCAGAGCGTGTAGCTCAGTTGCCTGACAAAAAGAACACGTCAAATACTAAAGCCATTTATTATTTTACACGTGTCATCAGGGGTCCTATTTTTTTATAATTAATTTATCAAAATTTCCTTCTTATTTTATTTCTTTCATTATTCCTTCTACACCTTTTAGAAGGAGCTTTGTTGTTCACAGAGACGCCGCAGGAGCTTCGCTAATTTGAAATTGCTTTCCTTCTACGCCTTTTGGTTACGAGGGCATATTATAGAGCCACCGCAGGAGCTTGGCTTGTTTACGATGTGAGTAAAAGGCACACTTTCGAGCCGCTGTCGAGTTGGCTTGAAGATATACTGCAACAACGCGACACGACAGTAATAGTGGTGGGGAACAAGTGTGATGCCGGAGAAATTATTAGGACTGTTAGTGCAGAGGGAGGCGAGGAATTCGCGAAGAGTAATGGATGTTTGTTTATGGAAGCTTCTGCTAAAACGGCGGTGAATGTGGCGGCGGCGTTTGATAAGACGGCGGAGAAAATATATGAGAAGATGGGATACGGGGATGTTGAGGAGGTGGATGAAGCTCTGGGAATTAATATTTGGAATTGGAAAGGGTTTAGGATTGGAAAGAACACAGGGGTGAAGTGAATTTTGCGGGGATGGGGGAAGTGGGTCTGATTTATTTTCTTTCTTTTTAATTTTTTTTTTTCTGGTTTTAAATTTTTTAAATCAAAACTATTGTAGTCACGCGCGTAATTTTCGTGACTTGCACACACCTTGTCCACATCATCTCTGTCACTACCACATATGCATGGTCAACGGTCAAATAGATTTATTAATTACCGGATACATGAGTTTGAGTGTTCAAATGAGAACCATGTAAGTTTGTGTATCGGCTTTAAAATCCGATACAAGTTTAAGTGGTCAGGAAGCCATTTCGCCTTTTATAAACCTTGTTAAGGGTTAGACCATAGCTGTCCACTTTTATAAAAATAAGGAATATTTTATATTTAGTGGTATAAATAAGGGGCAAAAATACTCCTATAAGCATAGGGGCTACCAAAGTCTTTTCCTCTACCGGAAAAGAACAAAAATAAACGTGTGGAAAGCATAAAATTGAACTACTCCTATATTCTTTTTCCTCTTTGTAGACTAGCATTCCAAATGATGTTGCAAAAATTTAAAGATTATAAAATATGAAATGTGGATTACGTACGTCAGGATAAATAGTACCCCATATTTAGATAATAAATAAAAATATGATCAGAGAAATTTTATCAATTCATTTTCGAGTATCCAAGGTGATCAATATTTCGAACCAAAAAACTCTAAATTTGTATAAATATAGGAAAACTTGTATAAAGATATTCACTTTAATAACTAATTGAATATAATATGCTATACTTGTTTGGTGAGAACTCTCTCAAATAGATATAACAATTAGTTGGATGACTTGTATCAACTCCTAAAAATTTGTATTATAGTTGACTTTATTTCTTTGTTAGAAGATCTTGCTGCTGAAGTTTGTAGCAATTATTAGTTCTATTGCTTGAATTACTAGTTCTGACTTCTGATTATGCTATGTCCTTGGCACTGTTGTATTTATAAAACAAAACTGAAGAATGAGCATTATTAACCTGTTGAGGCATTAGGCTGATCCTAAAACGAACGGCATTCATGTATGAAACTTACAGTTTAAGTGCTATCAGGTGGCTTGGCTATCGCCAAACTTTCTTTACTATTTTCAGTCTTACAGATTCCTTCAACATTCAAGTTGAAACATACATCACAAATTTTCTTTTTCAGCTACACTGTTGTTTATCTGCTTAATACAACAATTTCTTTTTAAGTTCTTTCTACATGCTTGTTTCCGAGTCAATTACTCAAATGATCACTCAACTATCTCAAATTATCTCCTAAAATCACTTTTCTTTCGTTTGTAACAACAAAGTCACTGAACTATGCCTATTGCACTCAAAAGGTCACTCAACTAGATTTTCCAAATTTTGGATTGCCAAATACCTATTTTACCCTCTAAAGTATAAATATTTATCTTCTTTTATTTATTTTTTAAAACTTTTTAATATTATGATTTCCCCTTTTTAATTTATATTACTTACTTATAGAATAAATAAATATTATTATAAATTAAAAAAATAAAAAATATTTAAGCATCTATAATGCTGGAATAACAAAATAATGAGCATAGTAAAAGAATTAATTAGAATAATTCATTTGTAATAATAATTTTAGTATTAACAAGAAAAATTCAAAAATTTATTTACACAATTCAGAATGAAAGAAAATAAAGGTTGTAAAATATATATTCCATGCACGTAATATAAAAATAATTATTTAATTAAAAACATTTTTATAATATACAATATATATTCTTGAAAGTTATGCTCAATTATATAATATATATTCCATGCACGACTTAACATAGCATATTTTACCCCATACAGATAGTCTCCCTGCTTTCCGATGTATAACTTTGTGTCGTCGAAAAGTTGGTAGAAACATAATAATATAATTGTGCATAATTTTCAAGAATATATAATGTACATTACAAAAATACCTTTATTTAAATAATTATTTTTATATTACGTACATGGAATATTTATTTTACAACCTTTTTTTTCTTTCATTATGAATTGTGTAAATAAATTCTGAATTTTTGTTGTTAAAATACTAAAATTATTATTACTAACAAATTATTCTAATTAATTTTTTTTACTATGCCCATTATTTTGTTATTCCGGCATTATATATGTTTAAATACTTTCTATTTTTTTAATTTATAAATAATTATTTATTTATTCTATAGGTAAGTCCATAACATAAATTAAAAAGGGAAAATAATAATATTAAAAAGTTTTTAAAAAAATAAAAAGAAGATAAATGTTTATAACTTAGAGGGTAAAATAGGTATTTGGCAATCCAAAATTTGAAAAATCTAGTTAAGTGACCTTCTGAATGCAATAGGCATAGTTCAGTGACTTTGTTGTTACAAATGAAAGTAAAGTGACTTTAAGAAATAATTTGGGATAGTTGAGTGATCATTTGAGTAATGGACTCTCCGGCAAGGACAGTAGACACGAAGTGTACTTTTGGTATTGTTACAAGGACAAAAGAATGAAGTAAGCCTAACTTGCTCAAACTTAAGAAGACTATATCTTGATGTTATTGCCTGACACTTTTGGAAAAGATTAAGAAAAAATTTTAGCCAAAGAATGAGATGAAAAAAAACTGATTTACTCCAAATATGGAGAAATTTTTTGAGATGCTGGACCACCTTCATATCAAATGTACTTCACCAACCATTCCAAGCTCTGTCATGTACGAACAATATGCCATCAGAAAACTTCTTTGATAAGCTAAATTAAAAGGAGTAACTTCATTAAACCAGTATCATAACTTAGATTATGCAAAATAAGAAAAGGAGTGACTTTAGAGTTGTCGTAGTTGTCTGGCTCAAGTTTCTGCACAGATAGAGAAACAACAACAACAAACCTAGTTTGATCCCATAAATGAGATCTGGGGAGGGTAGTGTGTACGCAGACCTTACCCCTACCTCATAGAGATAGAGAGGCTGTTTCCGATAGACCCTCAACACAGATAGAGAAAAATGAGCTTAATATTGGTAGATTGCCATATAATACCTTTATGCAATCAGGTAAATCCTCGTCTTTTACTCTCGCATGAGTCTGCAGATGAAGAGGTAAAGAAACATGTGAATTAGAGTACAAATGCATTTCCATCATGACACTGACTTGGGGAAAATGTGGCACTTGCAAAGCACAATTTTAGATATACTAGTATTTAAATATATACTTGGAGATGATTTGTTTTTGAAGATGCATTTCACTTGGATTAATAATCATGTCTTACGAAGTTACCTCCGTGACCAAATGGCAGGAGTCATAAAGATTTTCAGCTGATGAAGAGAGAATCACAAGTGCAGAAGCTACAGTTGATGGTCTGTAGCACAAGTGCTCATGACCCTGCAAAGCTAGTACTGCCAGGTACTTGGCAGTCCTCTCCATGTATTTGGTAGCTCTAGCAGCCTTAAGATAGAACCTGTGTCGGTCGGGACAAAAGCCGTATAAAATAGATGGATGGCTCTTTACTTATTTAGTAGGGATAAGGCAAACTCATCGAGTATATATCATATTTCGAGCAATAAGAATTTGTATAGCATGGTTGATCATTATACCATAAGAAGTTGTATATCGTTGGAAGCAAGCACTGGAAGTTTAGCACCTCCTGCACCAACCACTCCATAGCCACCACTTCACTACAGCTATATGCAGTGCCTGCAATAACGAATGTCTTCTGGCGGATGCTGAAATGGAAGTTGTGAACTTGTCAACTGGAGTAAGTAACTATTTTGCAAATGAGACCTAAGCAGATAAACATCTTTTAACAATGATATGGAACGTTAAAGACCAAGACTTCTAACTTGTGTATCAACTTGAGCTTTTCCTTCAAAAAGTTTAGCAATCTTTCCCAGTGACTTAAACATCAGAGAACATGAATGCAAGGTAATTTGCAAAGCTGAGCTTCCACAGATTTTATAATTGATTTCAAACTCTGTTTGCATGAACGTTCTTTAGCCATTTCATTCTGATACTCTTGTGGCATTCAAGTGAACAAGCCCAGAAATAATATCAGAGCAAGAAACATTACCTATTGTAAGGCTGGTTTTCTTCAATCCTGACTGCCAGTGTAAGGCAGGCTACACCAGCAATTTGAAGGCATCTTTTGGTTTTGAAGTATCCTTTGCTTAGAAATCGGTCAAAGAGGTTGACACTTAAGAACATCGTCTCCTTCTGAAGTTTCTTCCTCGTAGCTTGCTGTAAAAGAAGTAATGTCCAACATTAGACAGCAGTGGGAACTGCCAAACACTAGTGGTATTAGTATGTATTTGCACATTTCCGAAGCATAGGCTGTTGAAACAAATTTTATTTCATTTACTCCGAGGCTCTTAATCAAGGTTAATAGCATCATATCAGATGGAAAAAAGTTATATTATGTACTGCAATTCTCTGCAGATAAAAAATGGGAATCTTGGGGTGCCAAGGAATGGTCTCGCACATTTCATCATATAAAGAACTGTAAAATTTCTAATCATATTTAAGTAACCAGAAGGTCACGGGTTCGAGCCGTAGAAACAGCCTCTGGTAGAAATGCAGGGTAAGGCTGCGTATGATAGACCCTTGTGGTCCGACCCTTTCCCGAACGCTGCACATAACGGGAGCATAGTGCACCGGGCTGCCTCTTTTTATTATTTAAGTAACAGCAATTTTGTGGAATTGGACTACTCCCAGCACCATTGGTTTTAAGGGCCATCATTTGGTAAACGCCTGAAATGCAAGTGAAATTTTAAAATTGAGTGCGGATAAATTTTAGCTTTTTATTAGAAAATTTTACTGCGACCTAGTTACTCTATGAATGAAAAACAACAACACAAGCAAAAAGTTGAGTTACGATACTCAATTTACGTATAGCATCCTTTTCATTTTCGAACTTACCGAAATGTTTGACAATATTATTCCATTCAACTTTCACAAATTTCATGATCAATTTAAAATTCATTTAATTATTTCAATTTGAATTTTAATGAAAAAGATATTTCCCTATAAAATTACTTTTTTTTGGTTCAACCCTATAAAATTACTAGTATTCAATCATTGTTAATTTTCTTCTACTATTATTAACATAATACTTATAAAAGAAATAACCTATTAATCTCCTCATTCATTCAAGCACCTTCATGTACTATAAAAGGAAGGATTATACTTTACTTTTATCTCAAAAAAAGAAGAAGGTAAATATAGAATTTAAGATATATGCGATTTTTTATACTATCAGTGAATTATCAATTACCAGTTAATTAAACTCGTAAATATATAATTGCCCCATGATTCATGAATGACATGCATCGATCACGCAGTATGGACAGCAACATTATAGGCTCACGTGCAAACTGGATTTATTGGCTTATTACCAGTAAGTAGAAAATATAACTTCCGATCCACATGCACAATCAGCGTAAAATTTCCACATACATAACAATTAACATATCACACAAAGTTGATTTGATTTTGCTAATAAGTAAAGTCAATTTCCAGAGAAACATAACTTTGCATATTGCATCAACTAGAAATTAAGAAACGTGGAATAGCACGTCTCATCACTAATTAACTGACCTCAAGGATCCAACGAACCATCTGCAACCGCTGCTGGACGATGAGATCGCCGTAGTCCGTCGTGGAGCAGTACTCCTCGGCGTAGTCATGTGGATACAACTGTCTCCTCTCTCTCTTCCGTATCATCCTATAGCTCTCTTCATCCTCTTCTTCTTCCAATCCCTGCTTCGTACAAAAACGAAAAATAAACAGAAGAATCATAATGATATTTAAGGCTAACACAACTAAAATAAGCGTGAATTTCAACAATAATATACTAATAACTAAACTGCGGTGAATTTCATCAGCTCCTAACAACAAGTACATTTCAATTTCGATAATTTTCAGCTGAGAGATAAAAATTGAAAAGTAAATTTTAGGTACAAAGGAAGTAGGATTTATAGAACTTACGATGAGTTCAGTAAAAATGTGATAATCATCTGGAGAGTTTACGGAAGTGGATTGCAAACTGACGGTCGATGATCTGCAGAACTGTTGACTGAATTGAAGATACAACGCGAAAGTAGGTGAAGGACTAGCGTCGGCGTTCGATTTCTCGGAGAACTGGCTTCCAGAATCGTACCAATCGGATGAACTATAATCGGCGATCAGATCTATATCGGAACTCTCCGGGAAAATCTCCGACTGGAGTTCAGAGTAAGTTGATGAAGAATAATCATCGGAAATATCACTGTTTGACAAATGTTCAGAACATTCCAGATCAAAATCGGCTCCAACGAGCTTCTCATGTGCATGTCCTATAGCAGATTCTACCTCTGGACAGACTCGTGAAACTTCAGAATACTTCACATCTTCCGTTGCTCTGTTTTCACTACATTTGGTTGTTTGAACTGATAATTTTCCAGATTTTGACTCAGAAGGCGATTGTAACACAGAATTGAACGAAACAACATCGTCGTCTTTGATTTTCTCAGCATTTTTAGAGCTTTTACTGCAAAAATCACCAGAAGCTTCATTAGAATCCTCAGTTTCTTCAATATCTTTTACATTTCGCTTCTGTTTTGAGACGATATCGTGAGAGATATGCACTGAATTTTGATCAGTTTTCGTGATTTTACTGGAAATTGTCTGAAAACTAGATATCTCTGATGACTCAACACAAGAGCACTCCGATAATTCCACTTCAGCATCGGTGCTTCGTCGCTTCTTCACTGCCGTTTCCTTATTCACAGAACTTTTGCTCGATTCACGTGAGAGTTCGCTGATCAAGTGCGACGAACCAGCAATATTAGATAAGGAACATAGAATTATCGGAGTGATACGTGATCTCCGCCGGCGATGTAGCTTCGACCGGAGTTGCTTCGTCACCACTGGCGGGAGGATTTTCTCGGTCGGTTGCTGAACCGCCGGTTGAAGTGCTGCTTCCGAGGGTAACTTTCGCTTCATTACTTGTACTTCTGTTCCAAAAGTGGGAAAAATCTCAAATCTTAACTGAGTAGTGTTACACATGTGATTTTTGACCCTCCCCGAAATTTTACCCATTTTAGCATGTAAATATTTAGTTTAGGTCTAATATCGCCATTTCAACTAATTTTTACTTTATTTTATTACAAGAAAATAAAAAATTACAAAAAAATAGGTTTATTAATATTTTATAGTCATTTTTAATCTTTAAAAAAAAATTACAAAAATAGTACCCTATCTTTATTTTTATAATCTTGAAAACACAAAAAAAAATAGTTTTATGTTTTATAGTTTAGTTCAATTAATTAAAATTAATTTTATATTTTTATATTATAATTATACATAATTTTAGAAGAAAAAATTAGTTTTAGGTTGGTTTATCCCGTTTTTATAAATCTTATAGTCCATTTTTTAGTCTTTGGCCCAAAATACATAGCCCATAGTTCCTAGGCCCATACCCCTAACCTAATCCCTCCCCTATATAACCCTACACCCTACACCTACAAAAAAAAAGACTCTAAGAAGAACAGGGGATTGCTAATTTTTCGAAGACCATAAGGCGCAGCTCCTCTCTTCGGATGATATAAAAATTTCTCCTCATCTCACAAAGGAAAACGCCACTCCACTACCCATAATATATTCCCTCATCATTACACAAAATCATGAATCACTGAAAAACCAAACCCATTAAACAACCATCTCTTCCACCGTCCAGCCATATAAAAAGCCCAAATAACCACCACATTGTCAATCGCCGTTTGAAGCAGCGACCACCTCCAGTTTCTTGGAATTTGTGCCTATCCGAATTCGAGTTTTTCGGTGTCGATTCGAGGCTATCGGCGAGTTCGGGCTCTTTGTTTGAAGTCGCCATTGGGTTCGCCGGTCCGAGGTTCTGTGGGTAGCTCATTCTTGGATTTTCGCTTTCCTTTAGAGTTTCGTTTTCACTGTGTGTAAGGAGAAAAAAAGTGCAGCAATAAAGGTCCGATTTTATTATTCTTTCTCACTCTTATTGATATATTACATGTGCTTAGTGTTTAATTTGGATTTATTTAAGTGACCTACCGTGCGATTGTTGGAACTATCCATATGTTCGTATGCTCGGAGTGATTCATTTTAAGACTTTTTCAGTTTGTAATTTGAGAAAATTGGTAATAATTAAAGGATTATTAGCCAACTTTTATTCTGATTATTAAATAGGCTGCTGGATATGGACAATGGAAACCTTGAATATATGGCATCCCAAAGTTGGATTCATATCTTTTGTTCGCGAAAGAGTATAACGAGGCCATTTGTTCTTGTTGTTTTAGCTTCTTTTTTTTTCTTTTTTTTTTTTTTTGCAAAAAATAAATGGTAAGGAAACATTTGGTCTTATCAATACTTCTTCTCGTGCATTTTCCACAAAATGATGAGTTTTAATTTATCTCACTCCTAATTACTTCACGACTAAATAGTCCAAGCATTGCACAACAGGATAGGTTCTCTTAAATATGTGACTTTCTTTTTTTGGTAAAATAATGTGAAATCTTGAATTACTTTGATTTTTGGATTTTGATGCTGAAGGCCTTAATTAAGGCTATGGGCCTAAATTTGTAATGCAGGCCTGGGCCTTTCAAGTCAAGTGGCAGACTTGAATTAAGGGGCCTTCAACAATGGAGGTCTCCTTGTTTAAGTTTGGACTTGATCTTGAGGCCCGAACTTTCTTGAATGCCTTTAATAATAATTAATTCATAGTGCTAATTAATTAAGTTTTTTTAGAGACAATCCTTAAAAGATAATAATAGTTCATCCTTAGGACGTCCTTTTAAAAACAAAATTGAGGTATGCCGCGCCAAACAAAATCCACAAATTGCGTGGCCCTCTTTAAATATCCCTTTTAAAATCCTTAGAACATGGGACGTGCCATTTAGCGAATTTTCATGGCCTCCCGCGAAGTCGATAATAAGTTAGTTGCTTTAGGCGCGCTTTTAATAATTTTACCTTCTTAAATACGGGTGTGCATTTCATGCGACCCAAATCCAAATCCCAAAACATTGAATAAGAGGTGTCGAGGATCCGGGTGCATTTCATGTGACGTGATCCTAAAACACGCTCTTAAACAGCGTTCACTTTCATAAAAAAACTAATTAAAAGCGGTTAAACAAATTTATAAAATTGCACTATAGGTTGGAGCATGTATAAGAACCAGATTTTTAGCCATTTATAATAATTTAAGCGACCGTGCTAGAACCACGGGATCCGGGGGTGCCTAACACCTTCCCTCGGGTCAACAGAATTCCTTATTCAGAATTTCTGGTTCGCAGACTCCAATTGGGAAGTCGAAATTTTCCTCGATTTGGGATTCAAGATAAACTGGTAACTTGGGACACCAAAAGCCAAACCTATCCCAAGTGGCGACTCTGAAAAATAAATAAATAATCCCATTTCGAATAATGTCACTTTAAATGGAAAAACTCCCTTATACATTCTCCTTCGGGGTGGGTGTGTAAAAAAGGAGGTGTGACAGCTCTGGCGACTCTGCTGGGGATCGAACCCAGAATTTCGATTCAGGGTTCAAGAATTCGCGCTTAGTACAATTGTTATATTTGGCTTTATCTGATTTTTCTACATGTTCCATGCTATATGTGCTAAATGTTTTACCGCTTTGATATTTGTTGAAATTGTATATATAAACTGTCGCGAATCCCTTCCTCTTTCTGAGTCTTCTACATCATGGAGAAGGGTGCACTTCGTGTAGCTTCTCTTCTGTTTAGAGTCTTTTCCCATTTAGAACGAGGTTTGGATAAGTTGCAAAGCCGGTGGAGCTTCTGTATCCCCGGTACGCTGCCTCCCCCTCGGCTCGAGTTGTCCGCTCGAGTAAGCCAGGTCTAGACCAATAAACCTAGGGTTAAGCCTAGAAGAACAAAACCACATGCCGGATCCCTAGTAGGACGTTTGTTTGCATCATGTGCATTTGACTTAGGGGACTCAACACAGGGGTTGGGTTCGTCTAGGACAGGTGACCTGAAATAAATTGACCGTCCTGATGCATCTTACGTGCTACTTGCGCATTTATCTGCTTGGATTTGCATGTTGACCGGCTCGTCTAAATGAGAGAAAATTATAAAAACTAAGCAGTGTTAGGACTAAGGGAGGGTAACCATTTGTTGTGAGAAACCAAGTGCCCAAATAGTACCGAAATGCTGCCGGATTTGTGAAAAATGAAAAAAAAAGAGAAAAAGAGAAAAATATTTGAAAACATAGAAAAGAAAAATTGTTGTTCAAAATAGTTTTGATTTTGGCAAATCCGCCCGAACTACGCCGGTTTGATTCTCGCCGGATGTGAGATACGTAGGCAACCCTCATCGGGTCCAACCTCCCCTTTTGCAAAAATAGCCAAAAATACCAAAATTTTAATTTTTTGTCAAATAAATTGGGCGATGCCATTCTTGTTTTAAAATAAGCCGAATGTCCCCAAAAGGACGCCGGAAGGCCGTTTTGCAAGAATAGCCACCCTGAGTCATTTTCAAATGGTTTGCGGAAACCGCCTTAAAATCTTCTTTCCAGAAGTGCTGAAAGGTCGTATTTGCAAATCCAAGTCCTTATTTTCTAAATAAAGAATTTTTGCACAACTAGCCATTTTTCAAAATAAGTCATTAAACTCCCCTAAAATAGATGTGCAGGATGAATTCAAGTGACATCGAAACCTTCTCAGTCCTGAGCGAGATCCCTTTGAAACTCCATATGTGGTGGCATGACTTGGGAAAAGGAAGCAGAGATACTGTGATCAAAAGCCTGGGCGGTCTCGTAGATTTGTTAAAAATCAAGCCAAGAACAGATGTCATTGAGGCACTAATACCATTTTGGGACCCGACCCGTAATGTGTTTCGGTTTTCAGATTTTGAGCTCACACCTACATTAGAAGAGATCGCCGGATACGCAGGTCTAAATGGGAACCTCCGTGGTAGATACCCTTTGGCTCCACGGCCGGTAACTCTTCACAGGTTTTTAGATTTGTTGAACATCAGTCGGGATATTCAAGACACACATTTGGCGGAAGGGTGCTGTACACTACATTTCCTGTATCACCGGTATGGTAACCCCAAAGGCTTTGAGGAACCCAATACAGGATTGACACATGCTGGAAACAAAGACAAATGGGAGGCCCGACGCGGATTAGCCTTCATGGTGGCCTTTTTGGGAGTGTTAGTTTGTCCCAGGAAAGACGGTCACATAGACCTTGGTCTAGTAGGCATGCTAGATATTGCCATAAAGAAACCTACTAGCACAGTGGTTCCTTTGATTGTAGCAGAAATATATCGAGCTCTGACCAAATGTCGAGAAGGGGAGAAATTCTTTCAAGGTTGCAATGTGCTCTTGCAGTTGTGGATACAGGAACATCTCTGTCACCGCACAGGCTACATGAATTACGGTTTAACCGGTTGAGTTGTATCGCAGAGTTCGAGACCCGAGTTACAGGTATTGAGTTCCCGGAAGGTACTGAGGCCTGGTTGTCATGTTTAAGATCCCTCACTGCAGATAAAGTTGAATGGGCTTATGGATGGCTTCCTGCCACTGAAGCTGTATACACATCAGCAGAAGTCCCTTATATTCTTCTGATGGGTATTCGAAGCATTCAGCCTTATGCTCCTTACCGAGTTTTGCGACAATTTGGAAGATTTCAGACGGTACACGGTGATGAGGACCTGAGTGGGCAAGTCATTGAGTTGGGCCCAAAAGCTGCATTCCCTGAAGGCCAAATCCGGAAAATCTGGAATGAGTGCAGGTATCTTGAGCCTAAAACTATAGTACAGGACCGGGCCAGAGGTGAAGTAGACCCCAAATATTTGGTTTGGTTTGGTAAAAGGTTTCAAATCCCCGAGAGACCCGCCAAAAGGCCGCATGTGCAACAATTAACAAACGAGGCCCGGGTGCAGTGGGATTGGTTGGATAAAGAAAAAGAGTATAGAGCTCGGATTGGCGCATTGGAAAAACAGGTTCAGGAGCTTCGGTTCGAAAACAGCTTGCAAACGCGCAGCTGATGAAGGTGATAAAAGCAATTGCCCAGGAGAATGAAGCTTCTCAAGGCCCAAATTCAACAACTGAAATTAGATGCAAGGAATCGAGAAAGAAGTCTATCCGACGAGAGATTGATAAGAGGGTTTGAAGAAAACAGTCCGGGACGTCAAGGAAGAATTGGAAAATCCGAGGGAAGCATGCACAACTTCGGCTCAATGGCCAAGAAGACAGAGGAAAGGGCGCCAGTTCGTGGCAGCATAATGAAAGAAAAAACTATGAGGGAACCATTGCCAACTGAAAAGAAAATTGATTACTCTGAAGAAAGGTGCAGCCCGTCGGGAGAAAGTAGCTCAGGCTTGAAAGGACAGTGCTACTATTAATTGCCGATATGGAGAAGGAACTAAAATTGGTTACATCGTGATCTTCACTTCCAGGATTCGCAGGTACTAGAAGCCCGCACTCAACAGATAAGCCGGCTACTCCAAAGAAGGGTCAAATTCCGGGAGAGAATCATAAACATGGCCAACTATATTGTCATGAAGTGTCAGGCTGGTGAACGTAATGGGTCGTTACCACTTCTTTGCCTCCGCATGAATATTTGTTCGCCAGGTCATGAACGATTTGATCAGTTGCAAAGGGTCTTGTCACGCAGGCCCGCGGCAATGCCGAGTGATGCCCGCGGCCCCCCGGGATTTTGAAGCTTTGAATGTACTCTTGAGGCCGTAGTTTTCATTTCCAAAAAAGAAATAGTCTAGTAGCTTTGTAATTGCCTTTTGTTATTATGTAAATTTGAAAATTCCCAAAAATAAAATTGTTTCTTTATTTCTTGCATTTGAGTTCTCATCTATTTGCAAGAACTACGCTTGGTCTGATTCG